TGTTTTTAACATACCCAGGGGAAAAATAAAGTAGGCTACTAGCCTTGCATTAAAAGCATGACTGAGCTTAAATGCTATTTAAGCTCACAAAACCTCAGAGTGTTTTCAGAGATGCATCTTAAATTAGAGTTTGACAGCCCAACCATAACTCATTCTCCAGGTATTGGTGAAGTCTCAAACTATGATTTAATGATTCACATTTTTTTACAGTTAAAACTACAATATTCAAGTACCGTAGAGCAAATTAAAAACTGAGTTTGAATTCAATTTCTGCCTGTTAGAACAGATTTTTTTCATGCTGGATTAAACCTTAAAACTACAAGGCTGAGAAGGAAATTTGCCTGCTGGTGAAGGCAGTATGGATCACTGAGCAGTACTAAGTTCATCTAAGTGGCGGACTACTTTCCTGAAGGCTAATCCAGTTCAGCTGAATGTGAACTGTCTGAGGACCATTGCAGACCTTATCTTTCAATCTGATTCTTTGGCCTTGCCTCCTGAAAATAGGTGTAGTTCATACTTAGTATCAAAAATCTTCATAGAATACTTGAGGGTATTATTTGAGAAAATGAAGTCTGAATAGCAGATGGCATCACATCTACGATGGAATGACTACCTCAGTGGACAAGGGAAGGGCTACAGATGTCATCTATCTGAACTTCTGTAAAGCCTTTGACATGGTCCCCCACAACATCATTCTCTCTAAAGTAGAAGGAGATGGATTCAGTGAGTGGACTGCTGGATGGATAAGACAGTGAGTCAATGGCTCAGAGTCCTTGATGGACATCAGTGACGAGTAGTGTCTCTCAGGGGTCCATATGGAGACCAGTGTTATTTAATATCTTCATCAATGACACAGATAGAGGGATCGAGTGCAGCCTTGGGAAATTTGCAGATGACACCGAGCTGAGTGCTGCAGTTGACACACCTGAGTGATAGGATGCCATCCAGAGGGGCCTGGACAATCTTGAGGAGTGGGCCCAGAGCATCTCATGAGGTTTAACTAGAGCAAGTGCAAGATGATGCACCTGTTTCAAGCCCTGGTTTCAATACAGGATGGGAGATGAACAGATGTAGAGCAGCCCTGCTGAGGTGGAAGAGCAGCTGAACATGAGCCAGCAATGTGCACTTGCAGCCCATAAAGGCCATTGTGTCCTGGTCTGCATCAAAAGCAGTGTGGCCAGCAGGATGAGGGAGGTGATTCTGCCCCTCTACTCTGCTCTGGTGAGACCCCACCTATAGTGCTGCATCCAGCTCTGGGCTCCCCAGCATGGGAAGGACACTGACCTGTTGGAGCGAGTCCAGAAGAGGACCACCAGGTTGATCAGAGGGATGGAGCACCTCTCATATGAAGAAAGGCTGAGAGAATTACGTTTGCTCAGCCTGCAAATAAAAGGCTTTGGGGTGACCTAATTGTGGCCTTCTGTTATGTAGACAGAGCCTACAAGAAAGCTGGAGAGGGACTTTTGACAAGGGCATGTAGTGATAGAACAAGAGGGAAGGCTTTCAGTTTAACTGAAAGAGGGTAGGTTTAGGTTAGACGTTGAGAAGAAATTCTTTACTGTGAGGGTGGTGAGGCACTGGAACAGGTTGCTCAGAGAAGTGTTTAAGGCCAGGTGTGATGGGGCTTTCAGCTAGTCTAGTGGAAAGTGTCTCTGCCTACAGCAGGGAGTTGGAACTAAATGATCTTTACAATCCCTTTCAATCCATATGTACCAGGGTGAATTTATGCTGATACTTTTGGTCTTTTTATTTATGCTGATACTTTTGATACTTTGGCCCTGCCACCTGTGAAAACTTTGCTCTTTCCCTTGCCAAGTTATGGGAAAACAAGCACTGATAAACGGGAAAGTTGTCCTTGAAGAGAGCTTCTTGTATAAGCTGTTTTAATTGGTATTCTGTGATTGGCTAGTTGTCCTTCAAGGTCGCTCGAAGGAGAGATTGAGGAGGAGGAGGATGAAGGACACCCCCAGACTCATTTGGAAAAGACCCCCCTGAGTGCAGTACGCAGGCACAGGGAAAGCCACGCGTGCGCAGAAGAGATGCACTTACATAACTGGGAGGTGGGACTGAGGGCCTCTGGCTGGGCAGTGCTGGCCACACCTGGGAGGTTGTGGCCACTCAATTAATTTTATAAAAAGCAGATAGCGCTTTCTTGCAGGAGAGCTAACTTCACGCCAAGGATAACGTTGCCTTTTGGCGGGGACGCCTGCCAGTTTGTAAACTTACTGACTCTCCAAGGATGCAGCTTCTGCCATGGGTACTTATAGGCATGCTAGGTCGGTAAGATAACTTTATGGGCAACAGCTGGGTAACTGGGGAGGTCGTGCTGGGGGCTTATTTCTCTCCTCCTCCCTCCCTTTTGGGTTTGTTCATTTTGTTGGCCACCTCTTGGTAATAAATATTGGTTTTTGTTAAGCTTTTAACGGTGTCTTGGTTTCAAGTTTGGTTTTGGTCTTGGTTTTGGGTTTGGTCTTGGTTTCAGTATGGTTTTGAACCCTCCCTAATACACCATACCATTCTATAATTCTGTGCAAAGCCGTAGTCTTGTTGCTTACTGGCAGCTGCAGTTCTGATAGCCCGTTGCACCCTATGTCTGTAGTGGAAAATAAGGTGAATGAGGGCTTGTTTTCTGGCCCTGAAAGGGACTGGCATAGCATGACTTGTGACAATATGGCTAAACATCTGCAAACGGGCTGGCTTTATCTAGGCTGCCTGTTTGGAACAGCTATGGCTTGAGTTATCCCCAGGACCATAATCTGGGCATTGCCTGGGAGAATGCTAGTTGGCAAGGATCAGAGCTCTTCTGGAGGCTGTGTTTGTTAAACGCTCTGGATGATTATGAACAGTGACTGAGCTAGTGGCCTGATCCTTCTGCGTTTCCTGTTAGGTGTAGTAATAAAGCTTGTGTAAAGACAGTGTTGGAACCTGCGTTAAAATAATCTCCTAAACATAAAGTTAGTAAGTCTACACAGAAGAGGTCATATAGAAATGATGCCTGATCTACAGATGAGATTCAGTTAAGTGTTTCTCTGTTTCTCTGTTAAACTTAACTCATAGTGTGGAACATCATCTCTTGATCAGAATAAAATCTGTATTAGTAACCACACTGTCTTTTCATGGTTCCTATGTACAAGTCGATAGTGTACAGACTATTACTGTAGCATAGTTGGAGAATGCAGAGCATCTTGTATCACTGAGCATTTCCAGTGTTTCTGCAGGCAGTCTGTGATGGAATTGAGTGTACAGAAGGTGTGCAAATCTACCCCTGTGAAGACAGGTGTTGCTTTGATATTTTATGCTCATTATTCAGAAATTCAGAAACCAATATTATCCAAAAAGTTTGTTTAGTAGTGAATTTCTAAGAGAAGCTTATCTCTTCAAGACACCAGCTGCAAGTCTCCTTTTGCAAGGAATAGGTGGCTGATGGGTACTTTGCAGCTCCTGGCAAGCTCTGAAGCCTCACAGTACCTATTAGAGCTCATTTGATACATCTAAATGACAACAAAATATCTAACTATGATGACATTTTTAATGGATTAGAAAAGTGTCTGAACTCACTAGATTTTTTTTTTCTATCTACATTGTGTCTTCTACATTTGTTTGATAAACCTTTTAAACTATTTGTCACTTTTTTTCTGTTGAGGAGTGTGTGATAAATATCACTCTTGCTTATACTGGATGATTTCCAGGCAAGAGATTTATGCCAAATTATAGTGTTTTAATGATGGAAGTATTGCAGGAAGCATTTGGTTCGTGAAGCCACCTGAGTGTAGGTGAATCATGGAATAATTTGGGTCGGAAGGGACCTTTATAGGTCATCTGTGCTAAAGAGTTAGAGGGGGTAGAGCTTATTTTTTTTCCTTTAAATTCAGCGGTGCTTGTTGACTGTCTCAGCTTCTGCAGGTATCAGCCAGAGTATAGAGAGAAGGTTATGTTCATGAGAAGTGCTTTGTAACTCAAGTTCTCCAGTGTGAAGTTTGGCAGCCACAGTAGAGACATTAAGTTTGGCACAAAACCTATTGGGGATAAATTTAGACTTTCTTTAGCAATGACAGATGGTAGAACTATTCAGTTTACTTGTTCACAGTTTACTGTTTAAAGATTTGGAGTGGTGTATTTTGTTAAAAAAGTATGGGGGAGTGGCAAAGAATGGAGAATGGGACTGATAAGGAGGGAAGAAGTGGTAAGTAGGGCTACTGTAGCGGGAGTGCAGGCCGGGAGGAAAGAGTGACGGGCAAAGAAGTTTAACAGAGATGAGAAGAAAAAGATTCTCACAAGGATTCAGAGGCTGATTAGGGTTGCTTCAGTCCAGGGAGGCACTGAAGACAAATCATCTGGAAAATGAGGCTTGATAAAATGACAGTTGCTCTCCTCAGTGTTATTTTCAGGGATGCTCCGTAGCACCTTGCCTATCTTCACTTTAGGTTTTATGATCTGAGAAACTGGGGCAATAGAAAGTAAGGGGAGGTTGTAAGTTTAGGTGGCTGCATCTCCATCCTTCCTCTTCATTCAATAGCTAGAGTATTATATTGTTCAGATTCTGGTGTGAGATGCTTATTTGGAAAGGATTGTTTATAAAAGATGGTATGTTAACTACCCCTTTTTCTCTAACAAGTAATTGTGTATGGTTTATTGCTCCTTCTTATATATAATGATATTATACATAAATATTATTTCTAGTGGTGCTTGTGTAGATTATTTTTTCCCAGAGTCCAGTTATCTTTTTTTATTGAATTATACCTTATTGTGTGACTGTTCCCATTGATTTCACCAGAATTATTTAGTTAAGAAGTATATATACATGGACCAAAGGGATTTGTTTCAGTTTTTCCAGAATAAGTTTTTGTATTTCTTTATTGATAAAAGGACTCAGTTGAAGGATTGATTGCTGTAATGTTAATATTGAAACCTTGATATAGATCTCATTCTAGCTCTCAGGTGTGTTGCTATTTAGATTTCTTATCCAAAATTGGTTAATAACGTTTCTCTTTTTTCAATAGGCAATGTTTAGTCTCTGCATGGTTGAAAGTGAAGCCGATGAGGTGAATTTACATGGTGTCACAAGCCTTGGTTTAAAACAAGCCCTGGACTTTGCATATACTGGACAGGTATTGTACAGTTCTTCAAAGTAAGAAACACAGTTGAAAGCAACTGCAATAAAAACTGAGTATGTCCTTTTCAGAAGTACTAGAAATTATTTTTCTTCTGCACTACCCAGTACAAGGTATTTTGATTCAACAGATCTTAATGTTTGTATACTGTGATGGATTTTTTTCTTTAGAAGGATTGTTTAATAAAAACACCACTTATGTGCATCATTGCCAGGTAGTGAACCATGTAGGATTTGTATTCCCTTTTTGTGGTTACCTGACTGTTCATAAAATCTTAATATGAGTTGATTCTGCATGCTAAATTATATGTAAAGAAAGGTGTTTTCCTAGTAAAAAATATTTATAAACTCTACTGTGTTTGAAAAATTATACAATTGAGGAGAAAAATAGGCTCTTACTTTCTGGACAGATGCAGTTCAAGTATCTTTGTAAATGCTTATAGGTACTATACATTTTTGTTGTGACACTATGACCACAGGTTAGATATCACATTATATCACTTCAGAAAATGCAGAGTGATGGTCCTTTTCCCTTTGCCCCTTGGCATATCTCTGCACTGCATGGTTTGAGAGCATTGCTGTGTGACTTCATCTCAATTCAGAGTTCATGAGTAGTGAGCTCAGAACACCTTGCTATGTGCTCTTTTGGATTCTAAAACTCCAGATAATCAAACTATTTTTGGAATATTGGTACGACAGTTGAGTCCACTGATGTATTAGTGATCTTTATTAGTTAATTTCAGAACTGAAAGCTTAAATCCATATTGCGTTATTCTGGAAGAGCTGTTGAGTTATATAAATTTAAGGCATCTGCTTCTATGCTGTGGATTGAGTATATGGCCTTATATGGGTCTTTTCGTTGTTTGGTTTTGCTTTTTTTGTTTTGTTTTTTTGTTTGTTTGTTTGATTGCTTGGTTAGGGTTTTCTTGGGTTTTTGTTTGGTTTTTTTTTTTTACAAAGAAACTAAATAGGAATAAGGAAAAAAAAACCTACCTGTTTTAAAGGATCTATTTTTGTCACCAGCCCACACAACAGTTATAGTTTAGCACTTGAATTTCTGTGTTTCTGCTGTTATGGAAAACAGAATTTATTGAAAGATTTCTTTTATATAAGTGATAGATAGAGATGCCATACTACATTAGTGAATTAGCTGAAGATCTCAGTACATGACTTGTCATTGGTATGTTTTTCGTTGTTTCAGTTGAAAGTTTTGATAAAAATTGGAATGGTAAGCACCTGTATAACCTTTTTAGTAACTTTAAATTATAGGTTGATTATTCTGAAGGGAGAACTCTTGTTAGAAGTATCTTTTGAGAGGATGGGTTATATTTGATTTCTGTCTGACCCATCCTGTCTGTTGGGATTAGATATATTCGCCATCTTTCAGCAAAACTCATAGTCTAATAAACCTGTGTAAAATACATTGACAACCTTTGAAAGAATGGATATGGCTTTTATGTAACCCAACAAGCAACTGCACATTGCTTCCAGGATAATATTCCCAGCTCCCTAGCAAATAATATGCGCCTTCTGTCCTTGGTTCTTTTATAGTCTTTTGAGTCTTTCATTTTCAGGCATAATCTACTTTGAATAAATGAATGGGGTTCTTAAGTTAAATATAGATGTGCATGTATGTGCAGTTGCTCATACATATAAGTGATTATAAGGTGAAGTTTACTCTGTCCTGTCTCTCAGGTACACCAAGCGCTACTTTGATGAACAGAGAAATGAGAAGTATTCTGCAGGAGTTTTCTTATAAAGGTGCCTTTGAAGCATAACTCAAGTGATAATGTGGGTCTGAGAATTAGCAGTATTGCTTTTTTGCTTTAGGCCTTGAAATTCTCTTCTGGCACTGGGTTTGTATGTTTTGAGCATTGCTTATGTACTGACTCAGGCTGACAAAATCTGGGTGAGCATTTCAAGGTAGTGAGTGGGAGTAATCCACAAAGGCTATTAATAAACTGGATTACTGGATGCTTACATCAGAGAGAGTTCTGAAGACAGTCATCTTTGGTTTGGTTTGCAAACTGTTTCTGATTTAAAAAATAAAATATTGGTCAGTAGCCCAAAACTCACTCATGCCAAATACAATTTTATATTGCTCTGAAAATGTAGGTATCAAGACATGATCTGAAATACCTCTTAAAAGTGAAACCCATGAACTCTATTTAGTTTCTTTTATTTATTTGGCCAAAATGTTGGTCAAAAAAAATGGATGTTTCTCTAGGTAACGCTGTGGAATTCCTTAAGTGTCCATGTCTAAGAAGATACGTAATTAGTTGCAGCTTTCTTCTCTTTATTTCTTTAATATGCTGAACTTACGTTTGAGATGCTACACATCAAATTGAATGCAGCTTTCTGTGAAAAATAATATATTGGAGACATCTGGTGGAAATATTTAATATTGCACACAATGGCCTGCAGTTTTTGAAAGTTATCAAAATTAAGAAATTTAATTTTTAGGATAACACTGAAATCTGAAATTAAACTCTGTCATCCTTGACTCTATTTTGTTAATTCTAAATGTGCCTGTGGACTTAAAATAAAAACTTGGTCTTCCTGTCCACTTAGGCAGACGGTGCCTTATCATAATTACTGTTGGAAATATTTTGTTCGTAAGGGAAACCTGATTGTTCAGAAGAAAAAAGTTTTAAAACTCAAATACAAATAATACCATAATTCCAACTGAGTTAATCCATTACTATGGTCCTTAATCATCACAAAGAAGGAAATTTGGTGTTCAAATAGGTAAAACTAATGAAAGGAATGGCAGCAGAATTCTATTTTGTTCTATGCATATAGGTTCTCAGTAATCCTCTAATAATGAAATCTTTGGTAAAAAAAAGTCTTAAATATGTTTCATCTTGACCATAGGCATTATACCATATAATTCCATAATCAAAATTGATTGATAGGCTACAATTTTCCTGTTGTAGTTGCCATATCCTTTCTTCATAAAAGGGCTTTAAGGTCCTTCTCTCTTCTGCTTCACAGCTGGTAGCAGTAAGACCAGGCCAGAGCCTCAGTGAGTAGATTACTTGCCCTGCCTTTTCCAAGTCTTAGATTTGCATTGGAAGGGAGATACATGAAGTACAATCCAATATAGGAACTATGTATTTTAGATTATTAATGTAGAGAAGCAGTTATTGGTGCAGAGTTTGGAGCTCACAATTCTTTCTGTCCAACTAAGAGTCTTAACCACTGTGTTAGAGAGTCATGGGCATTGTTCTTTTCTTTTTGACTATTTTTTTTAAATTTCAACCCTTCTGTTAGCAAGAGACACAATCTTATTTGGAGGAATGGGATAGCCCCCAAATAGGCCAGTGTAGTTGGCTGGCAAGTCACAAGAGCACTGGCTTTAATTTCCAGTGGATGATCCTAATTCAACAAAAATACAAACACACAGTTGGAGTCCTATGCATACTGAAATGCTCCAGACTTGGATCTTTCTTCTTGGTAACTATGTTTTATCATATGTCTTTAATCTATGGTAATGGAAATATTTTGCATTTAGATAGAATTTTATTTAAGGACCTCAAAACACATTATAAAAGCAAGTAATCACTGTCCTTACTTTGCTGCATCATAAACAGGAAATTATTTTGGGAGAAAATTACTTTCCAAAGACAGCACAGCAAAACAGTAGCTTTTATTAGGGCATAATGCCAAGTTTTGCTGTTTTCCTAACTGGCTGGTCTCTTTTCTTTTTGGTTGTTTTGGTTTTTTTTCCTAAACTATGATATTTTGTTTCTGTATTAATAGAAATTAAATTGTTGTCATAAAGTTATAAAATTATTCTGAATTGTCAAAGCTTACAGCTTCTTTGTGAAATTGTACTTTCATTAGTTATTTCTTTAACAAAAAAACCCAAAAAGACCAAAACATGAAAGAATGAAAGATCTTCTCAGATGGTAAACAAATAGTACAAATAAATGTTTTCAAGTACAACAATTTCTCCTGATAATTGCTTTGATTCCTTTATAGAATCTTGCTTTCATTTCTCATCAGTTCCTCCCTTCATTTGATATTGACAGTTTTTCTAGTGATCAACAAGTATTTCACCTACCATTTTTAGTTAAGATCGGGGAAAATAGCTATCAATATCTTAGCACCTCTTACTGTGTTAATCCTCTCTATCTCTCTTGTGGATGGAGGTGTGTTGCAAAGGTGTATTGTGATGGTTGATTTTCTTGGGTAAGTGGCCTTCAGTATCCTGTGCTTAGCAGTTCCACTGGCTGCCTTTTGAGTGAAATGAATCAGTTAAACCACCTGCTGTCCCTCGCAAATGTGACTTAAACTCTCCTTCTTTACTACTGGGGACAGAATGCCAAAGTCATGGATACCTGAATACAACAGGTCTGTGTACTACTGTAAATACTTAACATCCTTTTTCAATGCAATTTCAAAGCCAAAGGTAAAAATTTGATACTTAGATAGGGGCGTTTCCTTTTTCACTTATATCAGGAGGATAATCTCGTTTCTGTGCTTAACACTAGGTTATAGCTGCTAGGCATTAGGTTCACAGTTTAGCTACAGATTGCCCAGAAGGCTTAGAATAATACAAAGCTTAATTAACTCACTTTATGAAGTTTATTTTACAGAAAGTTAAATGTTCCATGTTATTTGCTGTGGACAGAAATTAAGCTAGGGACAAGACAGCCTTTCTAGAGCTGAAAGTGATTAAAGTAATGAAACACCTTCGCCAAAAAATAGTGAATTTGCTTGGAGTCTTGCTTATTCAAATCCTGTTTACTTCTAATAGTGGTATTTACTTCATTAGTGGTATGAAGCTATGTCAGGGAAAGATCAGGCTGGACATTAGGAAAAGGTTCTTCACTGAAAGGGTGGTAGATCACTGGAACAGGCTCCCCAGAGAAGTGGTCATGGCACCAAGCTTGTCAGAGTACAAGGAGTGCCACTCTTAGTCATGTGGTTTAGGAGAAACATGGAGCAGAGACATAAGACTAGATGATATTCCAACTTGAAATATTCCATGATTTTACAATGTATATGGTGTGCATTTAACACAAATTTTCATTTAGTTTTCTGGAAAAATATTATAACATATATCAGAGGATGCTGGTTGTGATTCCTTCTGGTATTGGCTAATGAGACATCTGGATTTTGTAACGAGTGCTACCAAACATTACATGCCAGGGCTTTGGACTGTTGCCTGCAGGGAACTAGAACATTCTTTCCCAACTCACTTTTTTGAAGCAGAATTTGTCAATGTGCAAGGAGCTTAGAATTCAACTGAAGCATGAATGAACAGGGAGACAGGCAAAAGTGCTGTCTGGTTGAGAGTGAAATGCAGTCTAAATTACTTTAAAAGAAAAGTTAAGGGTTTTGATTGCTCTCAAGCACACAGAAAGATCTCCATCAGGCAAAAAAAAGTAATACTTTTGTTAGATGCCTGTCTCGTTTTAAATGCTGATCACTGCAAGTGAAGTCAAGAAGGAATTTTCTTTTTCATCAAAGGGGCAGGAATCTTAGATATTTTTTCTTGTTTTCTATGTTAAATTCCATATCGTTTACTTTCTAGAATTTTCTGACATGACATTACATATTTCCTTACTGTGTGTACTTGTGGTGTGCATGTGGTGGTATTTAACTGCATTTATGTTAATATTCATTTATGTTAATATGGATGGCCCGAATAACATATAAACAACTATGCTGGTAATTAATAAAAATCAAGTCATTTTATTATTGTATAGAAGCTGAGAGGTGTGGAATAATTTTGAATCACCCCAGTTTCGGTAGAAGGAAGGTTTGCAATATTTTCTTCCTTTTTATTGTTTTCTGTTTCTTGTGGATTTCCCCAGCATGCAGTTTGCTTCTGGTGAATGTTTAGCATAGATGAACTAGTATTTTTGCATATCCCCAAGTGATTACTGAATAAAAGTTGAGGTAGTTCCATTTATGGCAAAGTTTTTTTAAGGGATAAACTAGACTTTCCTCAATTACCTTGGGAAACTCAAAGATGAATATGTTTTCTCAGCACAATAAATCTTCCATGGTATAGGAAAGCTGTAAGAAATGGAAGAGCATGTAAGAAATATGTCTGCCATCTTGAAATACACTTTTGTTACTGAGTTTGTGCAAATCACCTCTAGACAGTAGCCAGTCACCCTTCTTGTCTCTTGTCCTACTTCTCATCTCAAAGTGCTACCAGTATTATTTATAAACTGATTGCTGTAGCTTTAAAATAAATTAATACTATCAGAGTTAAATATAGTTTGTCTACACCTACAAGGTACTAATGTGCTTGGGGTTCTGATTCTCTTCATATTGTGTCTTTTACAATGCAAAACTGGTGGCTGGCACTTAGTAAGTAACACACCATCAAGATGGCAACTTTCTCAGTGTAGCTCATGTCTGAATAACATACACTGCAAGATCTGTACCAGCTTGTTTTGTCAGTCTGACCTTGAGTTCTCACTTGAACATACTTGACAGCGCTGCTTCTTTTTTTTTTTTTTCAATATCCATACCTGTTGGAGATATTTTTGTGACTGAAATCTGTTCTATTTTTCCATATTTTTCTCATCATGCTAAGCAACCTCAGTAGCACCAACCAAAAACCTGGATGGTGCTGGGGCTGATTCTCATTTACATTAAGATCCTTACATGTCTTTCTGGCTTGATGAAGAACTTTTGTATAGTATGTAAATTACATATAATATTCAGTTAAAACCTGGTATTAATATATATATGATGATTTGCACAAGCTTTAAGCATGTCATATACTCCCAGAACTCAGTATAAATGAGTTCTTGCTATAAACAAGGATTTTTCGGTATAAACAAGGATCAGGCCCCTTCTCTCCTTATATATCCGTTGTGTTGGAGATATTTTGTGGTTTTGCTTGAAGAAATGCATACACATTTTTCATTTTCCCTCAAAAATAGTTAAACTACAAAAGATGCAGATGAGTGTCTTTCCTTTTGTTTGCCTTCTTCCTTATTCTACTGTATTTGAGGTATACAGTTGATGCTGTGAGATAAAACTGAATCATGTGGGCAGAAGAAAAAGGATCTGAAAAAAAGCTTTACTGTGGAGCAGTGAGACACTGACCTCATGTGGTGTGAAACCAAAGTTGCCAGAGGAAATACAAGGATAAAACTGAATAAAGCGAGCATCTTTGAAAAATTAATTTTTCTTATGGATTTCTGATTTTTGTTGGATATTGCACTACTTAAATAATTTTAGTTTATATAGTTTATAGTGCGATTGCTAATAAGAAGTTGACCAGTGTCTTTATTCCCAAAGACTTTTTTGTTTCCCAAAAGGGATGCTCTAACAAGCTGACCCCAAGACAGCAGTCTAGCAGCTGTGGTCCAATTATCCTTACTGCTGCCTCTACATGATTTTAATTGAAATGAGTAGGAGATTCATGTGAGCAACTGACTGAATAATCAGTCTTGGTTTCTAAGCCCTTTCCGGCACTTCCCCAGCAGCATGTTCACTGTGCTTTCAGAGCCCTGCTCTGTAAAATGAAGACAGTGGTTAGGAAAATTATAAAGTGGTACCATGCAGAATAGGAAGGGTGTTCCTAGTCTGTATGTTTTTAATACGCATGAATAATACTAATAGTGGAGACTTCTGAGTCAGTTCTGTTGGCCTGATTCATCAGTATATATGGATGCATCCAAGTATGTAGATAACAAAAGGAGGTTCTGTTATTTTGAAAAGTCTCCCTCTTAAATAAACAGCATGCATTTAGTTTCAAAATATTTAGAGGGTAATGTGGCTTATGGACTGTCACAGGAAAAAAAAAAAGCTTAAAAATCCTTTGGGCAATTCAGATGAACTTTAGACACTGTCCCCATCCTGCAAAGACTTCTCTATATGCTTAATTGTACTCTTTCTGTTCTTTATGTTGACTCAAATGTCTGAAATAACAAAAGCCCTTACTGTTTTCTACAAGTACTCTGAGTTCCAGATGACAAACCTTCCATTTTCTTCTTTACAGATCCTCTTGGAACCAGGGGTGATACAGGACGTCCTGGCAGCTGGGAGTCATTTGCAGCTGCTGGAGCTTCTCAGTTTATGTTCTCACTATCTCATTGAGGTGAGGCTTCTTGGCCTAAACAGCCATTTCTGTTTGGTACACTTTTATTAGAAGTCTAATTTCATTAGGAGAGTATCAGTACAATGCCTGGTGTAACCTAAATGGCAAAAAGTGGATTTCAGGATTTTTGAGTGTAATTTGGGTTTCAGTTTGTGGGAGATGCTTTCTCCTTCCATACATTTTGTTTATTCCTGAAAGCAAGAATGCTTTCTTCTGCCTCAGTTTACCAAATGCTAGTTATTTCCCTTTTGGGATCATGAGTATTATGAAGAATTCAGATGCATAAGTGTTCACAACAGATTTTGATATGTATCCCAGGGCACTACTACCTCTGAAGGGATAGGGCTTATTGTAATGGCCCCTTATTCTCAACTAGCCTCATGCCCATAATGCTGATATCTTTATGAAACAAAAAATTTGAGTGCAGTAAACTAATTTTCTGTGATGACTTATAGCAAGAACACAGCTTTGATGTGTAACTATGAAAAACCTTATAAAAATAAAATAGCAATAGCAATTCTACAGAACTGTTTATTTTTCTTGGTAATTTTTCAGTACGGTTTCTGAAATAGGTTGTGTTAGCTGCTTCTGGGCAACAGGTGGGCATGGAAATGCACATCAGCACAGTCCTCTTAGTATGAACTTGCCTTCCAACAGTGTAACTGCCTTTGAACAGTCTGAGTGTGCTTGGCAGCACGCTGAGCTACTGAGTACCGGGGGCAGGCAGGATCTCGTGGTAAGAACTTCAGGAAGTACTTGAAGGCTCTGTGTCTTATGGAGAAGTGTTAGCCTTATAAAACCCTTCAAAATGTATGTTCAGATAATAAGACAGTATTAATTTGTACATTATAAATTGATTAGAAAGTTAGAGGAGCTGGTAGACTTATGCAATTCATTTTTTTTTCAGGAATGTAAGGAGGGATTTAATTTTTCTGAGAAAATAGACACGAATTGTAATGGGAAAGATGGTTGGTTTGAGAAATAAGAACTGTGAGATGCTAAATAAGCCACAAAACCATTTGGCCTACCAGTTGTCAGGCAGGCACAGGAAGGAGCTACTGTAATGAAAAAGAAGATACAAATCTAACATTATACCCTGTATTTAATGGCCCCCTAACAAATCAGTCAGTGGGAGTATGCCTCTGCTGATGATGTGGTTCTGTGTTTGTCAGAAATTGAACCAAAGAGAATATTGCAGCAAAGAATCTAGGGAAAATATTGAAAAGTAGGGAAGAAGCTGGGTATTGTGCTGGTGAGAGGGGATATGAGAGAACTGTAGGAGAAGAGCAGGTATATGCTTAGCATAAATCCTTGTGCTAACTACGAAGTTTGTGGTATTTGTAGCTCTTCTCTCAGCACTATCTTAATACTTTTAATCCTGAGGCCACTGCAGGGGAAAGGCGGACAACTGTACGATTAGCAGTGCTTTGGGTCTCGTCCTTGATGTGCAAGCCATAGTCAGCTACTTAGGAAGAGATTCATAATGAATTAAAAATCTCCCAAAACAAAACAAATCAATCCCAAAATTACACTACCTCCACAAGAAAACCACTCTGGAGTGAATAAACATTGCTTCTAAATTATTCTATAATTAACAGACCCAGAAAAATTCTCTGGAGATGACAATCGTAGAATCCTTTATGTTGAAAAAGACCTTTAAGATCAAGTCCAACCATAGAATGATAACTTGCAAAAGAAGCAGAAGTGTTTTAATTCCTCTCCTGCTAATACTTTTTCTGTTGCTCTTATGTCTTTAGATGCAGTTTGTCTCATGCGTATTTATTTGCATGTTTTTTCTCCTTCTATAATTTAGAAGAGAACCATGTCCTTCATGAGTCATAGAAACCACAACTCTGTCGTCTGCAGTTGCTGTAAGATGTGTAAAAGATGTGAAATAGCACTGTTGTACTCTGAGTAGTACGCCAGGGTTGGATAACTGGAGCTACACTGGTGTAAAAATTAGGAGGAAGTGGGGCTCAGTGTCTGGATTTTTAGTAATGGAGGTAGGGAATAAGGTAGGGGATGAGAGGCAGGGAAAAAGGAGGAGTATGTGTGTTGGAAGACAGAGAGCGGTGGGATGGCTATAGCTTATATCATATTGGATTCTAGGCTGTATTTTACTCTTTTTCTGGTATTTTTTAACCTGGTTCACCTCAACAAGGCGTATACATAGACAGATTTCCAGTCTGATTAGATCATAGTTTGAATTTACCTGTCTTTTTTGTTCTGTAGTGTTGCAGTCCATACAAGTAATCAGCCCTGAGTGATTGTGTAAGCCTTTTTAACAGAGGCCAAGAAGGTACTGCACATTAAGACTGTGATATCTTTCAGGGTCCAAACTAATTATATCAAGTACCTGTTTTTTCTACATATTATTGAATGACTTTAAAAAATGTTTCTTGCTTTATTTTAGTACTATCTGAAAATAAAATCAAAGTAGTTAAGGAAGTCTTCTTTAAAGCCACTTACCCTTGCTGCAGTTGATAACTGGGGTGCTTGTCACCCCACATGCTGTGATACAGATGCTGGAAAGAGATTAGTGCTTGCCCTTTCTCTTCTTTCTGATGAATTTGAGTGTGCTAGAGTTCTTTATTTCCAATGCTAGTGATTTTCTTTCTTCCTGTTTGGAGTTGTTCAGATTTCATGAACTTAGCTTAAATTAGCATAAATTCAGGAAATATAGTATGTGGGATCTAGCTGTCATTTAATGTTGTGTAACGATGACACAGAGTTTTAACTTGTTAGGATTGTCTTTAAATGTTTGGATTAGACCAGGCTTTTCCCATATGAGTGCTGCTTTTATTGTAAACACTCGTTCAAGCTCTCCTCTCTCTGTAGATGTTCCAGCTTGTCATTTTATTGGAACTGTCTTGAACAGTTTCATCTTTTCTTGATACTTTTATCTAGGGCCTGTAATGGTTCCATGGATTTCAATAAGGAGGATTTTTTTGCTACAAATGCAATTGGCATCACCCATACACATATCTTTTTCAAGGCATATTGGTAGTCTGTGAGGTTCCAAAGAAGACTGTTCTGATCTGATTTATCTAAGATGATTGTCAAAGTGTCTAACTGTCAAAAATTATTTGTAGTGCACTGGGCACACATTAATTTGCAGCCAACGCTGCATGTTCACTGGTCTTTAAGGAATTTCCTCTCGGTTGTCTCAAAATAAACAAGATGTTATTTTGACTATAAGAGAGATCCTCTTTGTCATAGACCAAACGGCTTAGAAGACTTTAATTGGTTGATGAATCCCAAAAAGGTTTCTGTTACAAATTGTTTGAATTGCATTTATGGCAATTTTTTTAAGAATTCTCAATCAAAGGAACAACAGAAAAAAGGAAAGGAACATTCTCCCCACCCTCAATTAGGTAATATCAATCTCTAAGACATTTATGATAGCGTGATGCAGTGGAGATTTCTGACAACACTTATAGTTTATTAAATGCATTTTATCATCTATAAACTTCTCATTATCAAATGTTCTGTGGCATCTAATGTTGATTCGATATTCTCATTTGAAACTCATGCTCATTTTGGATTGATAATTTACTAATTTTTATTTTAAAATAGCTATTGTTCATATTTTCTGTATTTGCAAACAAGAAAAATGCCCAAATATTCCCTACTTGAGGTCTTAATTCCAGCTTTGTGTTGTGCAGACTTCTCCCCCCACCTCAGTCATATCTTGAATTATGATTACTCCACAACCTCTGCTGTTTGGGGCTTTTGTTTTTAGTTTCATTTGTAGAGAGGGACTTTCAAAGAATGCTGATGTATTTTATTTGAGACACATGCATATTCATGAATCTTATGTCATCTGCATAATTCTCAGGTACATTAAACATTGAAACAAGGCTTGTAAGCTCACACATCTGTTTCAAGCTGAACAAACGGTAAGGCAATGTGATTTTTCTGAGCTGTGTTGGTGTTATGTAGGTGTGTGAAAGCTAAGCTAAAGACTTGAACTTTGTGTACCTTGAATTGCACTAAGGTCTGTGATCAAGCACACAGCATTTGCTTGCAGAGAGCACATCCAGCTCTCCAAGATTCTTATTTTCTGAGTTCCTCCTCCAGCTCAGGTTGACTGTCAGTTTTGGCTGAGATCTTTCAAAGGAGGCTAACGCAGAATGCTGCAGCCAACAGCCAGACTTGGAAATTTAATGGGAATAGGTTATCTGAATATCTTCTTTACCTTTTGAAAGTTTTAGTCTGTCGAGTTCCAGTGGACCGTATTTGTCCTATAATGGTGGAGAAGGCAAGAGAAAGCTTAGCTGAAGGCATTGAGTATGTTGTACATCTGAGAGTGGACTTCTTAAATGCAGCTGTGGAGAACACGATATTAGGTGGTGTGTTGTTGATGACTTATTTTGCACTTTAAAGCTTGTAAATGTTTTTCTGAAGGATATATGACAACTTTATTCTTATACAAGAGAGTAAACATGTTAAATCATTTATTCAGAACATAGAAGTGTTTGTTTCATAAATAAGTCTGAGTTATATAACTGATTGTAGATCTAAGAAGTTTTGTCTTTTTCCTCAACTGTTTTGTGTATTCAGTACCAAAGAGAGCCACAAACTGCAAGTTATTTCAACAAGCAAAGAGTATTAATAAAGAGGGAATGCTATTGAGAATACAAGTTTTTAATGGCATTTCCTTCTACTGATCAACATCAACTCAGTATTGTGTGGGAAGTAATTGGTTTTTAAACCAGAGTTTGATTACCACTAGTATTCAGGGATCTGGGACATTGGACTGTCCATATTTGAAATCTTAAAGCTAAGTGGTTTTTCTGTATTTTCCGAAGTCCAGCATTTTTTTTTCAGTGGAGTTTGAGGTACTTCCTGAGTTACATTCAAGGTAATAAGATGATAGTTGTGAGGGGTTAAGAAGTTGCAGAACTATCCTAAGGAAAATACTCATTTCTGAGAGGTGGCACGTGGCATGATGTTAGTTGGCATTTATCCTATTAACTTTCTGCTGCCAGATCAGGCAC